ATGCCTGTAGCTTATGCAATTGGGCAAGATCAGTGCTTGTGGTGAGATGCTTTCACGGCCACTGCAAATGCCACGGGCAGGAAACAAAGCAAGAGAAATAGCTGCTGCGGTTTTATTTTGGAGTTGGTGTTCATAACGTCTATGTCCTCTGCTCTGCAGCCAGCACAGGATTTTAGACTCTGTATCTGAGGTAAGCTGCCTCATATGAACCTGGTTCTGAAGCCCGTTATTTCAGAGTCTGATTACTTCCTGGATTTGAAAGGTAACATTGGCTCATATTTATGCAAAGCCAGCTCTTCGTTTCCTGGCACAATCAGTGATTTCATTCCATTTGCTCCAAATGGTATTGGTTCAATGAAGGTTTCTATCCTGGAGCAATGGCACCTAATCAATAAGTCATCAATGAAAGAGAAATGAAGGCAATCACAGCCAAGCTGGGTACATGGTAGAAAGTCCCAGAGGGGTAGCGGCGTTAGTCTGTAAAAACAACAAGCAGTCCTGTGACACTTTTGAGAGTAATAAATGTATGAGGTATTGTGCTGTCATGGGTAAAATCCACTTCATCAGATGAGGCAGAGTGGAAATTACAGAATTTGGGGTGTATAACAGCAAAAGAAGTTACCTGTCATTTGTAGGACTAGTGTTAATAAAGCTAATTAAGTCAGGGTGGATGTCTCTCATTCACAGCATTTGATGTGAAGATATGAATATCCAAAGTGGGGAATTTGGCTGTAGTGCATTAACCAGTTAAGATCTTTATTCTACTGTTGAATTTGTAAATTAATTACAGTTCAGCTGTCTCCGTCTATAATTGAGTGATAAAATTCCTTTGTAGAAGGGTGGCTACTTTTAAATCCATTACTGAATGTCCAGGGAGGCTAAAATGTTCCCTTACAGGTTTATGTGTTTAACCATTCCTGATGTCTGATTTGTGTCCATTTATCCTTTGTGGTAGAGACTGTCCGGTGTGGCCAATCTACATTGCAGAGGGGCACTGCTGGTGCATATCATGTTAGTGGATGTGCAGGTGGATGAGCCAGTGGTGTGGCTGTTCCAGTTAGGTCCTGTGAGGGTGTCTCTTGTATAGATATGTAGACAGAGCTGGCAATGAGGCTTGTTGCAGGGATAGATGAGTGTATCTGAGGTGTGTTGTATGGCTGCTGGTGAGTATTTGTTGTCTGTAGGTGAGGACTGGCCTGCCTCCCGAGGTCTGTGAGTGAGGGACTGTTTTCCAGCATAGGCTACCGATTGTCTTTTTCTGCTTCTTCCATAGTGCCACTGACTTCATTGGAGCTATGGTGATTTATACCAGTTGAGGATCTGGCCCAGTTTGGATTAATTTTCCTAATCTGTCTCCTTGCCAAATAGTCCTGTAATGCCAGACACCATGAATGTGCAGGTTGGAGAAATGCTGCCATCCCCTGCTCTGCCCCAATACCCTCCAAATCTCATCTCTCCATTCTTACGTTAAAAACAAAACGTCTCCTCCAGGCAGCAGCAATTGAAACTTCCTCCCGCATGGTGCTGCCCACGTGACCGTACCTGGACAGCAGAGCACAGCCTGTCTCCATTCCGCTGTGGGCCTGATGACTCGCTGAGGTGTTAACTGTGCCGGGCCTTCTGGCACTTTGAATGCCAGGAGCTGCTTGGATACCAGCCTGTCACACTCGCCGCCTATCACGCACCGTGTCCTTCTCTCACGGTGCTGCTCAGGGTGGCACAACTGTCGTGCAAGGCTGGAGGTATTTGGTGTGTTTCTTACAGGCCTGTGGGTCAGGAGAGCCGCTCAGCTTTCAATGAAAAATCAGTTAAATTTCTAGTCCTTGGGGTTATAAAGAAAAGCTTGAACACATGACTCCTGTGAGCCCTAAAGGCTCCAGACTAGAAGGCAAAGCTAAAGAGCCTGGTATTATTTATTGCATCAGTTCATGATCTGGGGGGACCCGGGGGCATGATTTTTACAGTCAGGCTGACACCATTGCTTATTTTCTAGACTGACTCCACAGAGCTGAATTAAGGCAGGCTGATGTTGGAGTGACAACCAGCATGGCCCCTCTCCTGTCATGGTAGCAGGTTTTAGTGCTCAGATGAATGTTGAGCCAAATCACATCTCCTGGAGCTATTATTGTTCCAGGCTGGCTGTGGACTCGGGCAGGCATCAGTCATTAACTATTGGCCACTTACCCCAGCCCTCAGTTGCAAGATGAGTGACTGGCCACCCCTTGGTTTAACCACCCCCAGTGGAATGGCAGAGGCCCCTTTGATTAACACTTTATCCATCACAACATTTCTTTGCCAGCCAAAGAAACAATCCCTGCCATCTATCTAGACACGCGGACATACCCATCCCTGTGGTGTCAGGGTACTGAGCACAGGGTCTGGATGACTATTCTCTGTGCATACTGCATGGATTTGAGATCGGAAGCCCGTCCGGGCAGGGCCTGTCTCCTGCTGTGCATTTGCATGGTGCTTGGCACAAGAAGCCCCTGATCTCAGTCAGGATGTCTAGGTGCTACCACAATGCATATCATTAACTAACAACCATTAATTATCATATTACTTACCTGCCGCAGGGCAATGAGGCTGAGCGAGTCTCTGCGGTGCAGGGATTGGGGTAAAACAATTGTGCACGACTCTGAAAGGGTCATTCTAAGAAGAGGAGGCAACTTGCTCACTGCTGACAACCCAAAGAGCCGGGGGGAGAGCAATAGTAGAGGGGAATTCTCTTCCCGAGGTGCACCTGCAGCATGTCTCTCTCCCCTCTTTGCAAGATGGAATGTGCCAGCCCTGCTGCTGTGCACATCAGAACCCACCTGTACACCTGTAGCCAAGGATTGGAGTTCCCCCCAGTTCTGAATGTGCTGGGTTAATGGACAGCCTGGGAGCCCAGAGCAAGGGGTCTGGCTCTTTTCCTGCACCAAGTCGGCCCAGACTGCCCCTCTCCCAGCTGCCTGGTCCCAGCCCCCCAGCTAGTTTGTCCTCTAGTCCTGCTTCCCGGGCAAAAGGTGTCAACTGGTCACACCTCCTCCCAGGCTGAGGTTATGAAGGGCAATGGCCATTGTGTATGTGCAGGAGACTATCACACCTGAAATTCCTATCACTGCATAGGTATTGGTGCAGTGCCCAGGGAAACCAAGGCGCACATACACGTGGTTACTATAGGACAGTAGAACTCACATGCAACATAACAAGGTGAATAAAATCCCCACTTTGTCACACCCAATTCACCTTCAGCCCCCTAGCCAGCATGATCAGAATTTATGAGCCCTGGGAATGCTCTGATGTGGCTACATACAGGGTGAGGGCTGGGTCTCTCCGTACATAGATGACATTCAAACCTCAGGTACTGTGCAGAAATTGGGGCTTAAGGAATTGATCTTTGGAATTATTCCTTCTCACATTCAATGCGACCGATGTCCTGATTGGCTCTTCTTCCATTAAAATAACATCATCCTGTCTGAATAGATGAGGTGCACTTTCATCGAAAAGTGGCTTCTCCACTGGAGTTCCATTCTCCCACGTTTTTACTGACTCCACAGTGGATAGCAGGTATTTACCACCTCGCTGCATAAAGCCCTGCATGAAGATTCCCTGGCTGCCTCTCCGTAGCGAACAGGATGCAGCTTAAGTAAGAAGGCAACCTTGCCTCTTTTGACTTGATGGAGTAATAAGCAAATTCAGTGGCCTTCCTGTCCACTGGGAGAGAGCCTGGAAACCCAGGAACCATTTTCAGGCGGGAAGATGATTTCTCATCATCCTTAGTCACATGAAGATTTTATCAACACAAATCTCTTCCAAAACATTCTTCTGCCCCAAAAGACGGAAGGAAGAAGGTCTGAGGAAGATAAGAGCTGCTGGTGGAACTTTCTGAAGAGAATCAGGGTTTTTCTGATTAGCCCTAGTGCTGGCTACCCCCATATTTTGCCAGAAGGAGGTTTGGAAGTTTGGCACCGGCCTGGCTTCATGTTACACCTCCACATTGGCATGGTCTATAGCTTCCTGCCTCCTCTCCTTATGGACTGTGCATCTCTGATTTGGTGCAATCAGGAGGTGAAGAAATGTTTCTGATTCTTCTCACACCAAGTTATTGGAGATCTTCCATTCCCTACAGTCATTAAAACAAGATGGCCGCAGAATCCTTAATGTTCCCTACTAAAGCTGAGTAAAGAACCCTGGTTTGGCAGATATAACTGACCCCATAACCTTTATTCTTTGGGGCAAACTCCCTCCCCCAACCCAAGAGGCCTGCACAAAGCTTTTGGCACCATTAAGCCAGGTTGCCAGGGCTTGAGAAGTGTTCAAGTCTTGTGCTAATTTTCTGCCCAAAGGTGAATTTCACCCTTAGTGCTCAACATGGTCCCTCCCCACTTCTGAAGGAGAGAGAGAGAGATGGAAATAAAGTCAGACATTTAATGATGTTTCCTTCAAGGCAGATATTTATCTAATTGTGATTCTGTCCTTCAGTAATACCAATTATAACCCCAATCCTAAACCCGATCCGTCTCTATTACACAGTAATCAGAAATGAGCCAAGGGGCACAAGCCGCTATGCTTCCCAGATACAGCACCCACTGAGCATTTCAGGACACGGTGTTATCTCAGCATGGAAGTGGTCTGTCAAGTTGCCATTGGCTCACTCAGCCTCCACCCTGTGCTCAAGGTTTTCGAATATGCTGGGTCACACTCCAGTTCATTTAAAATGGTTAGCAGAGGGGCACATGTGGCAGCTAAAAAGTTGACCCCTCAGAGATGGAAGACTCTTGTCCTATCTGCCTTTTCACACGGCTTAGCCCAAAAAGACCCCGCTGAGTGACTGGAAACATTTCTTCTCATTTTTCAGTACACAAGTAAGGTTTCTGGCCTGGAGAAACTGAACTGGTTATGCTAATTTTTTTCTGCTCTGTTTCCCTAGTGTGCAGTCACCTGAGGCTGTTAGACTGTTCCCACCCCATTGGTTACGAGGTTCTCATTTTACTTGTACCACAATCAAATGTCACATTGACAGCTTACTGCTTAGGGTGGTTAATAATACTCTTTATTGTAATTCTGTGCATCCTCCCCATATACATTTATTACCACACACCAAACAAAACAAATCACCTTCATCCCCGCCATCCTTGCAGCAGTTCTTTTTAGATTGGTCTTAACTGATATTTATTGGGCAGAACATCATACACTCATAGAAAAGCTCTAAGTTACACACACTTCCAAATGAAAAGGTCCTTTTTCTGTCTTCAGCACAAAAGGAACTAAGTTTACAAAGGCCATGGCTTTTTGCATCCCTGTGTGTTCAGCTTGAATATCAATCTCCAAAAGGAAATAGGATGGGATTCTGGCTTTAGTGAGAGCAAATTCCTCATTTCTCTTTGTCTTTCTTTTTGCTCTTTCTCTGGCTGGTCAGTTCATTAAGTTTTTTATCTAGGCGCCTCTGCAAGTGAGCTCTTTTTGCTGGGTCCAATGACTTGTCTTTTGATCCACTCCCAGCGTAGAGAATTCCTTCTCTGCTAATTCTCTGCCGAGCTTGAGCTTTGGCCTTCTCCCCACATCCATGAATCTGTAGGAGACAGAACAATAATTTTGGTGACAGGTCTGGGACTGCCTTGAGATTTCACATGTCCTTACGCATGAATTAGAGCCTGATGTTCCTCGTTGCAGAATCCTCATCTTGAACATACTTCACAGTCCATAAAAATGTCCACCAGTTAGTTATAGCGCTCTCAATCCAGAAACAAAATAGCGAAATCCACTTTCCCCGATAGAACATACACAGTAATTAAATCTTCCCTTTAGACAGCTTAAATATTTCCTTCCCAAAGTCTAAACATTTTAAGAGATTGTAGCTCCAACATCTGAGTAGCTGGATTTTTTAAAAATTTCTCTCATATCATCTGATGAAACCCTAACTCTGTTTTCTAACTTGTGCTGTTAATGTCCGCTCTTTCTTTTCTCTTTCACTTAGGAAACGCATCTAAACTATGTCTTATCAAGCAGGTATTGCACTTAAAGTCAGAAAAGTGACTTGGGAAAAAAAGTGCTATCCTTTGGGTGTGGTTGGGGCTATTTACACTGGGGAAAATTTCTAACTAGTTTTAAAATTGAGTCAGCTAAACCAGTTTCAAAACCAGACAGAACTGTAGCAGAGACTCTGTTTAGAATAGCCTGATTCACTCAACTATTTTTCAAGATAAACAAACTAGTTCTGTAAGACTAGATGAGGCCACCTTAAATCATTTAAAACCAGGCTGAAACTAAAGCTATTACCTATTTTACAAATCACTTTAGTTCAAACCCTTTTAAAAATAGTTTGACATTTTCCCAGTGTAAACAGGTGCTGAGAGTTCTATTATTTAATTTGTTTATTCACAAGACAAATATTTTTACTAGTTAGCACCATAAGGTCAGGGGGTAAACTCTTTGGCTACGTCTATATTGCGCTCTCTTGCGCAAGAAAATATGCAAATGAGGCAAAGCGGTGAATATTGCAGTATCATTTGCATACTTAATGAGTCAGAACAGCTCTTGCGCAAGAGGGGGTTTTTGTGCAAGAAGGAGCAGTGTGAACAAGTGCAAAAACCCCTTGCGCAAAATGGCGGCTCATTAACTATGCATATGAGGCACAGTGATATTCACCACTTTGCCTAATTTGCATATTTTCTTGAGCAAGAGAGCGCAGTAGAGATGTAGCCTTAGGTGGGCAAGGACTGTCTTTCTGTTCAGTGTGTGTAGAAAAGGGGGGTGCAAGAGTGAGAGTTGGGGTGAAGAGGGGTTCAACAAAGAGGGTCTCATCCGGTGGGGCCTTCTCTCCCCCAAGTTCCCTGACTGACAAGGGTCTTCTTGCTTCTCTCCCCTCCCACCCGGCTGCCAGGGGCCTTTTCTGTCCCCCTCTCCACCCTGCACTGTGGCCAAGGGCTGGGGGGAGGAGTTTGAGGTGGGGGGCTACTTAACCTGGTCTGGTAGCAGGCAAGATAGCAAGCCCCAGCCCTGCTAGACACACTCTTGGTGGTATGGCTCCCCTCAGTGGTGGTCTAGCTCTCCCCTGCACTCACTGCCCCCATTGGCCACTATCAGTATTGAGTCCTTGCTCTCTGTGCCTCTCCCTTTCCACGTTATGAAAAACAGTCCCATTCCCGGCACATCTCATTTTCCTGGCACAACCAAACCTGATCTTACTTTAAGTTATGATAAGAGGAAGCTGCCTACCACAGTTGGTGGTCCTAGCTCTTACCATTTAGGAGGATAGTGATAGAAATGTAGCCATATTAGTCTGGTGTAGCTGGAACAAAAAACAAGACTCTGTAGCACTTTTAAAGACTAACAAGATGGTTTATAAACCTAAAGTGCTACATAGTCCTGTTTTTTGTTTCAGCTACACCAGACTAATATGGCTACATTTCTATCACTATCCTCCTAAATGGTAAATGTTGCATGCAGCCTACGAAAGCTCATCATCTAATAAACCATCTTGTTAGTCTTTAAAGTGCTACATAGTCCTGTTTTTTGTTTCATTTAGGAGGAGTTCTTGAATAAATGGACTCACAGACAGACACACAGACAGAGGCACAAATCCCTAATATAGGAATAAAGACCTGGATTCTGTTCTCCCATATACAATATAAACATTACTGCCACCTAAGTTCTAACTGTGGTTTCTTTGTTACCACTGCTTACGGAGCCAGAGAGAGAACACAGCTCGGTTTTCAGACCCCAGTGATAAGTATGCAGTGCTGACAGTTACAAAAATCTTTACATAGATGATGTATACGATCTAGACAGCACTGGAGAATAAATATGGAATCCCACAAAGTCATTTTAAAAGGATTTTGGGGACATTTGGGACCCTATCTGGCACTATTTGAAACCAATGGAAGTTTTGTCACTCACTTTGACCTCAGTTCAGCCAGGTACTTATGTATGTACCTGTGCATATACCTAAACCTAAAAACTATGAATAATCTCAATCCTATTCAGCAACATTCTTAATCGGCACATATTAAATCCCATTTAATGGGACTTAACAAGTGCTCTGTCAAATAGGAATGAATTTAGCATATATTTACATAGGCATATTCTTACGTGCTTTGTTGAACTGGGGTTTTTATTAGGAATAAGACTAGATCCTTTATGAAGACTGCTCAATCCCCACCCACACGCAAATCATTCCCATTAGAGCTAAGAGGTTTGGTCTGCATGTTAATGGCACGTCTGGGCCCTTATTACATCAGATGAAGTCTGACCCACATTGAAAAGCTGAACCCAAACAAACAAGCAACAGAAGGGCAGTGAAGCAGGGTGTATCCTGGTATTTAATTCCCATTTGATTCTTCATTACAATTCACCAGGAAAAGGACCTCCATTAGATTCTGCATGAAATGAAATTATCCCAAGCAGATTCCAAATGAACATAAATACAAATAGTCTTTGCCAAGGAAGTAGATCTGTTTTTGTCAGTGTGGAATAAAATCTACACTGATAGTTTACAGAACCAGCTAGGTTTTTAGAAGAATATCGGATACTCAGCAGGGCAATGTGGCATGGCATGTGTTATGCGGGTCAGACTAGACGACCCCTTATCCATGGATCTGACTGGGAGGCTCAGGCAGTTCAGATGCATTCGATTTTCATCTCTGCAGAGCCAGATGCAGAGTCTGGGCGTGGCACACATGAAAAATCTCTCCTCCTATTTCCTGATGGCAGATGGAAGCTGGATCCAACTGCCATGCAATCTGGCCCAGCAGGAAGTCTGCTCAGGAGAACTCCAGTCAGGTAATAGAGAAATGGACGCACATTGGAAGAGCAGCACAGAAGCAGCATCCGGAGAGAATGGCTAGGTAACCCGTTCAGCCATACACGTGGCTTCAACTTTTTGAACCAGAAATCAAAATCTCCAAGCAAGGAGAAGCTTCCTCGGATCTATTTACTAATAGCGAGGAACTGAATAGAAATATGAGAACAGGGAAGCTTAGAACCAGCGACTATGAGTCAGGCTACGATTATGTCACAGAAAATGTCATGGAATCTGTGACTTCCATTGACTCCCATGACATTTTCTGCCAGCCCTTCCCCCCTCCATCTGCCAGCCCTCGCCCTGGTGGGGGAACTCTGATCTGCCCAGCCAGAGCAAGTTATGGGAGGCACCCCTAGCAGCTGCTGAGCCAAAGTGGGTGTCAGGGGCATCCCCGCAGCTGCCCAGCCACAGTTGCCCAGCTGGGATTCCCACAGCTGCCCAGCTATGGTGGGCAGACCCTGATCTGTGCCTCCATTTCCCAATCTGTAACATGGGGTATGTCTACACTACAGTGTTATTTCGAAATAGTGTGTCCACACTGAGTGGACTCTGAATCGCATTTAAGGCTGGCCGGAACCAGTTCCAGCAGGGCACCAGGTCAGGACTTACTGTGTGGGGCTGCTGCCTGAGACTATCTGAGGTCTTGTGCTTCAAAGGACACTCCCCCCCCCCCCCCCCCAACAGCCAGTTTCCCTGCTTGATTGTCTACCTCGATGAGGGACAGCAAAGCATTTAGTCTCTGCATGCTCTGGTTGCCCTCACTCGGGACACCACAGCACTTTGCAACATGGAGCCAGAGCTGTCCCTGGTGCTTCTCTTGGTCACGTTGATATGAGCCTGGCTGCACTTTCTGCAGGCTGCCATCTGGGAGGTCCATCGGGGGGGCTGTCAGTATCCAGGAGGCCCTGTGGGAGAGCTTCTACCCTGAGGAGCACTAAGAGCCTCCCTGGTCTGCCTGTGACTGTGCCTCATTCCTCCCTTACGTCTTTCCACTTACCCCTCCCTAACCCCCCTTCCTGATGTCAAATAAAATACACGTATTTTCATGAATACAAACTCTCTTTATTTAGCAAAACTGGGGGTGAGGGAATGAAGCTCTGGTGAGACTGGGGAAAGGAGAGAAGAAAGGATGGGAGAGGGGAGGGAGAAACCTGGGAGGAGGGAGCTGGAAGGGGGAAGCAAGGGGAAGAAAGGGGAAGGGAGGCTCAGGGTCTCGCCGGACAAACTTGATTGTCATGCAAATCTGCTCCTGAGTTCGCATGTGGCCTTTTGTGGCCAGGCTGGCAGCTATCCTGCCATAGATGGCCACGTTCCTCTGTCTAGTGAGGAGATCATGGATGTTGGGGGCCTCCTCCCCAAACCTGAATAAGGTCCATGATCTCCACCCTGGACCAGGATGGTGCCCGCCTTCTCCGGGCCCTGGCAGGCTCCTGGGAGCTGGCAGACTGCTCCTGGGGAGTGGTGGAGGGATGGCTGCTAGTGGCTTGCTGGCTCATGTTTTGGGGCTACTGGGTCAGAGAAAGTGACTGCTGGCTCTGGGCTGGCAGGCTTGGAGTTGGCACAGGCACTGTGGCCAGAGTCTATCCCTTTAAGGACTCCGGGGAAGTGGGGAGGGAGTGGAGTGTTCTTGGTTGAGGCTGGAGTGGCCACCAGGGCACCCTGGGAAGGCTGGAGGCCCCCTATTTCGAAATAAGTGTCTACACAGCGCTTATTTCGAAATAGCTATTTCGAATTTGGCATTATTCCTTGTGGAATGAGGTTTACCAAATTTGAAATAAGTGCTCCACTATTTTGAATTTATTTTGAAATAGCAGTTTGGCTGTGTAGAAGCTAGGAAAGTTATTTCGAAATAAGGGCTGTTATTTCGAAATAACTTTGCTGTATAGACATACCCATAGGGACAATTAGAGTGGAATGAAAAATTAATTTTTTGGGGCTCACATTGAAATATCTGGGGGAAAAAAAAACCTGGTTCGATTCAAATCAACACACAATATTTTTGGGTTCTTTCACCAAAATTAAAAACCAGGGAGAAAAAAAATCCAAGTTAAATGTCAATTAAAATTGATTTGTTTGAAATGACATTTTCAAAATAAACCATTCTGACATATGAATAAGCTAAAAGTCACTTACACAACTGCCATGTGATTCATACCCACATGCTCATCTAGTTACATGCACATAATGCAGAATTTTTTTAAGATCAGATCATCCTTCCAATAGTTTATTGTTCCCTAACACTTCTGACTGGATTTTCCTTGCTGACACTAGCCCAAAATGATGGTACCAAGGACTGTGTGTATGAGATTGTCACAGTGGGTATTAATATAGATGGGGATCTTTAGGGAGCATCTTCTACATCAAGCATCACAAGATGCCATGCAGACAAAGAACACAGTGTTAGCTGCGAGCTGAAGATAGAAAGAAAGGTTTGTAGGTGAGCTCTGCAGAGGAAGTAATTCAGAGACACAGCGGGAGGAAAGGGTACTCCAAAGAGCCACATTATTTCAGCACAGATACACTGTTACACTGGCTACTCTCGGATTTGGGTTTAAAGTGCTCTTGTAACAGCATGGTCTATTCACTGAATCCAAGGACATGCACAATTTTCCTCTCTGTTCCTTTTTTACATATAAAAATAAAATAAAAAAACCCATCAGGGACAGGGGAGAGTGTTTTCCAATGCCCAGACACAAAAAAACATGTTGCACCTGAACCTTGACATCAAATAAAATCTCTCCAGTCTCTGCTGGAGAAAAAGGAAAAAAGAGATATATTTTTTTTTACCATCACTTGAAAACAATTTAAATCAGTCCAAGCAGGTAATGCACAAAAGAAAGCCCTGGATAAATAGCCAACAGGAGCAAATGCTCCATTTTCTCATGTGAGGGGAGGGAGCAACCATCACCTCTAGAATTGCTTCCATTTCTCACTCCCATTCTAACAGGATGCATGTCGGTTTCATTATGGTAATGATCTGTATTGCAGTAGTGATTAGGGTCCCCAGCGGAGACCAGAGCTCCAGTGTGTACTATACCACAGTCCTTGCACTCCTCAAGGATGGGAGACAAATGTGCTGTAATTCCCCCTTCACAGATGGGGACCTGAAGCAGAGAGAATTTAAGGGTTGATCCTGCAAGGTGCTGAGTACTGCGATCCCAGGGCAACAAAATACTTCAGCACATGCCTAAATGCTTTTCTTTATAGAGTCAGAATGCTCAGCAGCTGTACTGGATCAAGCCCTAATTGAGTTGCCCAAGGTCACACTGTGAGTCTGTGGGAAAGCCGGGAATTAAATCCACCTTTTCAGACCTTCAATCCGGTGCCTCAGCCATAAGATCATCCTTCCCTCTTTCCTAGAAAGGTAAATTTCACAGATCAGTCCAAGACGGAAGCAATGACCAACAGGACTTCATAGCCTGCATCCTGCTAACAAAACCTGCATGGCCCAATTCAACAGCGGAGCCTTCATCTTAAACATCTCTGAGAACCCGAGAACATTGCTAAGGAAATCAGCCTCAGAACGTTCAGTAAGGAAAGTCAGTGAATTTCTAGCAATGTGTAGCCCCCTGCACTCAAACAGTTCCCCAGGGCCATCTGGGGTGCCCCCTCAGCTCATACCTCTGGGATGTGGTGGCTGAGGCAGTAGCGCTTGTTGCAGTGCAGACAAAGCTGTCCCATGGTCGTAACGCTAGCTTTGCACCTGGGGAAACCACACGTGTTGTCCACTTTCACTGCAGCAGAAATCAGGGCGTCAATATCTTCTCCAGCTGGGGTGTCTGCTGCAATTTTAACCGTGGCCTTTCCTACAAGTCCAGGGAAAAATCCAATGGTTTACATAATCAAATGTCCCTGACAGACAACAGGCTACATTTTCTACTGGTAAATATGTAGAGCCCAGCACAGATACAAAATTTGTATCTGTATCCGCATCCATAGCCTCCACAAAAATGAGTTGTGGATATCTGCAAATTTGCAGGGTTCTAGATACAAAGTTTGCATCCATAGCCGCAAAAATGAGCTGTGAATATCCGCATCTACAGGCACAGATATAAAACGGATATCCACGGATTTGCAGGGCTCTCTAGATATGGGTGCAGCTCTGTAGATTTAGGAAGTTTGCACATCACCGACCAGCCATGATCAGCAAGAACAGTTGCAGTGGCCTACATGCTATGCTGTAGCCATATGACACTGACACATGCATGGTAGTGGATGGGTTTTTAAAAGATATGTAAAAGTAGGTAGCATGCATCTCAGATTGTAACCTGTTCTGATTGTTCCCATCATCACTTTTTCTCCACCACCCTGACTGCACTGATTGTGCATTTTTAGGACTGGGCAGTGATGAAGAGATTGACTGTTGCAGGCTTCTTGTGGCTATAAGAGCTTAGCTATTGGTTCAAAGCAGGAGTTGGCAACCTTTTCAACCCAAAGAGCCAAACTACATCCAAATTCAGAACAAGCGGACAACAAAAAGCCGTAGAAGAATGCCCATTTGCATGACTGAAGATAGACCAACATAATATTATTGATAATTGGCATGATGATTAATAATAGCATCAATGAAACATTGTACCCACAGACTTTATGTAACAGGACTTCTCCTGCTACGTATTTTCGTACATTTCTTTGAAGTTTACATCATAACTGGTCAAATCCAGCTACATGCACACATTCAGGCTACCTGAATAATTAGGCATCTTAAAATGTGTTAATTAATTTTTCATTTTAATTTAAAAAGTTGCGCTTATTTTGGGAATGACAAAAGAAGCCAGATTTGGCTCGAGAGCCATAGGTTGCAGACCCCTGGGTCAAAGACTTTAAGCCTCCCACGGTTCTAACTCCTTCCCATTGTACCCAGCATGCGGATGTTTGGCCCATGTGTCAGTCAACCTATTTCTAAGCCTGTGAGCGCAGCTCCCAATCCATACTACACCTCCAAGAGATCCAGCCCCTCTCTCCCATCCTGTGACCATCTAGGAGCTATTTTGTTGGAAATGTGCATCAGTGACCTTTCTGAAAGTCAAGGTCCATGTTCTAGGGACACATGCAAAGCTCACCCCTGAGAGGAAAAGCAGGAAATTAATGAGTACACCGCATGCCCTCTATTCAAACATGATCAATAATTCTAATGAATCTCTCATCTCAATGAAACTGGCAAAGACTATGTCTCCCTAGGGATAGAAAACCTGTGGCCAGCAGGTCAGCTGGCTCAGACCCCGGAGCAGCTGTGTAGAAGTTCAATGTTCACACACTAATTTTTTGCCCCATAGCCCAAGTACCCTGAGCCAGGTGACCTGGGCCAACCCCAGCCATGCTACAGTGCTTTTCTCCCCACTTAAGCCTACTCAACGGGTCACTATTCGGAAAGGGCTTGGGCAGAGGTAGAGAAACAGACTGTAGCTGGGAGTACGTTACTAATACGGTGCAGTGTTCAAAGGTCTGACTTAGGTACAGTCTTAGGCAAGGATTTTCAAACAGCCCCGGGGATTTAGGCACCTATGGAATTTCAGCAGCAGCTGGGCAACATACTTTTCCAAGGGTCTTCTAACAAGACCCCCAGGGAGCGGTCACAAGGGAAGCTTGCAGCATGACTGGCTTTTGCTATGGAAATCCCTGGGAGGCAGGGCTTACCTTTTGTTTCATTTTTGTGTTTTCTTCCAGCTATTTCCTGCAAATTGATGCTCAGCTCCTGATTCTTTCGGGCCCTCTCTTCTTTTTTGGCGGTTTCCCGTTGCAATCTCTCCAGGTGCAGCGTTTTCAGATCCACTTTCTGAGAGCTCATGCTGCTTTCTCTCTTCTTGTCTGGCACAAGTGCCTCTTTTCCGGGGCTTTGGGATTCAGAAGGTGGGCTTTGCTCACTGTCATCTGTGTGCACTGGAGAGGAACTGATGGTGGTGGTTTTCTTACTGATGCTGATGTACCTCTCTCTCCTCTCCCCAGTACTTACATGCTGTAACCCGTAATCTTCAGCCAGTTGGTGCACCAGCATCCTGTCGTGTGAGTTTAAGGATGAAGGGAAATCCATCTGCATCTTGCTGCTCTTCAGAAACTCCACTATCATGACCCTGAAACTGCCTGAATTGTCTTTCATCTCTGGCCCTTCCACCCTAGACTCGTTTTTACTCTGCAAGGGTAGTGCTGCTGGTCTCTGTGTGGGTGGTTTCATTGGATTTGGTTTGGATTTCTGGTTTTCAGCTTTTGGTTTTGGAGCAGAGGCCGTGTTGGTTTTAGGCCCTTGCTCCCCCTGACTTTGAGAGCTCTCATGAGAGTAGTTGTCTGGCACAATGTCGTTGAGGTACTCGAAGGCTGTCCGCACTTCCCCATGTTCACTCAGATAGTCCACCAGCCGTTTCAAAAAGGCCTGGCTGCCGACGGTCCGCGAGTCACAGATGACTGCCACGTGGCGTCGGGCACGAGTCACTGCCACGTTTATCCTCCGGTCTTCAGCAAGAAAACCCACCTCGCCTACAAAACACAAAACCCGCCCGGCCGTCAGCACATCCAACTTGGTGGCTGGCCACGTGAACAGCAACACTTCTATACTAAAGGCCAGCTCCTCAGCTGGTGTAAATCAGCATAGCTCATTGGAACTATGGGGATTTACTCAAGATATTGTACTGGCTGCGGTGAGACAGCAAGGAGAAGAATGATCTAGTGGCCGAACATGGGGCTGGGTAGCAACAACCTCTGAGTTCCAGTCCTGGTTCTATTGCTCATTCCCTCTATGACCTTGGACATTCAACCTCTGCCTCAGTTTTGTCCTCTGCTAAATGGAGCCAATAACACTTCTATAGCTCACAGGGGGCAGCGGAGACATGGGTATAAAGGGTTTGAAGAGGAGTAACATTATACAAGGGCTACTGCCTGGATGGACTTGAATGAGGGCTTAGGAGTGTAACAGCAGGACTTGGGTGAGGTGGCTTGAACTATGATGTGGAGCCACATGCCTGAAATAAAAGCAAAAGTGGCATGTTAGGATGATGACAGACTGGCAAAGATCAGCCTTCACTGCACCTGTCCATCCCACAGTCTGTCTCTAGCTATCAATACCAGTCTCACTTTCATAAGCAGAGAAATACACCAATCCCAGGCTACCTTCCCTCCCATTCCCACACAGACAAAGTGTTAAAAATAACAAATATGTAGGAGATTACACCAAGTCTATTTCTGCTCTCTGGCTATTTTCTCAAGGAGCCGTAATAACAGATAGCAAATGCCAGAATGACTCAGCTCAGCTCAGCTCAGCTAGTGAGAAGGCCAGCGTGGGCGTCTTCTGCTTCAACGGATACATGGGAGACAACTAGAAAAACAAATATTATGCAGATCTAGGCGACAAGCTTCATTCTGAGCACGTGAGGCTTGTGATACAAAACACATCAAACTACAATGGACTTTAATAATTACGTGAGGCCACCTGCCTGAGCTCCATGGCCCGGTGGTCATTGCTAGACATTGCTGTCTGTCTGCTTGCGGAAGCAATAACATGCTGAAATGTGTTTCTCCAATCCCTTCCGAGAACCTGAGTGCTGGGACAGTCTGATTCAAATCCATTGCAACACCAGTGGACTTGATGATTGGATTTTGCCAGTGTTCTTAGCAGGCATGAAAACAGTTCTGGCCTGGCCAGAACTGGTGCTGGGCAGGGCCATTCATGACCCTGCTGTTTTAGCTGCTGTGTGTTCACTGGGCAGTCTGCCAGCTATGGCAACGTGTGGGGGTTCTGTGATGTGCACCACGGGAGTTAGGAAAGCCTTGGGTCCCTGTCCTTTGTGAAGTGTTGTCCCCTCATGACACCTCTGCTCAGAGGCCAGCAAAATGACAATGGGGCAGACTAGGATGGGGAGTTTGGAGATGTAGCCACCTATGCTGAATTCATTCTGGGCAAGTCACCAACAGTCATGAGATGGCAGCAAGGCCCTGATTACTAATGGCTTTCAGTCATCAGTGTATTCTGAGCCACTTACCCCCTTTTCTCTCATCAGTCTCCCCTCAAATCCAAAATGCTCATCGGAACGACTTCTTTCACGAATCCTTCCCAACTCCTTCTTTCACTCTTAAAACCTGCCCTTCCCTTCCCCTTTCCTGACCCACTACTTAGTGTTTTGTCTGGGACTTACACCCTACAGACCGCACTCTGTGTCTGAAAGTTGTGATGCACATTTATGGTGCTACAGAAATTACTCTCAATGATCATCCTTATGGTTCAGATAACACAAGATGCAGAGCAATGGGCCCCAATTACATAGTTCAGCAGGCTGAGTCTAAGAAGAATCACG